TTCATCGTGTAAGCTGCATGAATCTATACAGTACCACTAACACTAGTTCTACAGTTGCCAGGTCAGCATCGACTCATACCAGTTTTTCCATTTGTTTTAAGTAATGTATCCAGAGATTCCTATAGCACTCGAAAGCCATGTCCATTTGTTCTTTCCCAATATGGTCTGACTTGGGTCTCTGGATTTAATAGTATGGTCTTGGAATTTTTGCAAATGTTTTTGACTTTGACCCACTATGAGAAATATATTTTAAATTATGGCATCCACACATATGCATCCCTACCCTATGTACACAACCCAAAACACCAGTTCCATAAAACATTATAAATGTGGTACTCATACATGCTGATATTTTTTATTCTGTCCGAAGTATTTCATCTTTTGTAAAATGCTGGTTAGAGCAATACATTTTATTTCATGGCTTACTAATTTTTCATTAGTTTAATTAGACCAAATTAAACTTTGGTCTAATGTATACCTGGTATTATGTACTTCAAGTAAATTTCTCAGGATCAAATAACAGAAAAAGGAAATATTTGAGAATGTGAGCAGTTGGGGAAAATGCCTGAAGACAGAGCTCTGGGGAGCAGTTTGCATGAGGAGCAGCTGATCCTTGAATACAGGAGAGCTCAGGAGTAAGAAAAATCCGGAGTTCACAGCAGCATATATGTTTAAAAGCCAAAGGAGAGGGCTGAGAAGGGTGCAGGGAAAAGAACAAAGTTGAAGGACTGACAATACCTGACTATAAGACTGACGATAAAGCTATGATAATAAAAAAAGTGAGGTATTGGCAAAATAATAGACAAATAGATCAATGGAACGGAATAAAGAGCAGGAATTAGAACCCCCCCCCCCCGCTAAATATAATTATTAATGGATCTTTGACAAAGGAGGAAAGGCAATATAATGGCAGAAAGATATCTTTTCAACAAATGATACTGAAACACCTGGATGTCCATGTGGAAATAAAAAAAAGACTCTAGACACAGACTTTGCATCCTTCATAAAAATTAACTCAAAATGGATCGCAAACCTAAATGTAAAATGCAAAACTATGAAACTCCTAGAAGATAAAAGGAGAAAAACTTGGTGACTTTGGGAATGGTGATGACTTTTTAGTTCCAATGCCAAAGGCACAGTCTGTCCAGTGTTTTGCTTTACTTTCACAGCCTCAGCTTCTTGCCCCTTGGTGCAGGCGGAAGGGGACTGGTCTGGCTCCTGGTCTGTGGCAACCACAGGGACCAAGAGAAAGGAGTATGACTTTGTGGATGCATGAGCCTTAGCTCACTGCCCCCCAGGCAGTCCCTTCCCAGGGATTAATATCTGAGAGCGAAGCTATGTAACCTAAAGAAAGTTCAGTCATCTCAAGTGAATATACACGTATGTGCTTTTGTGGTTGTAAAACCTCCTTGGCATTTAGCACTGTATCTTTAAAACTTTTAAAGCAATTTTGAGAGATGATTTACGTACAATAAGGTGCACTCATTTTAGGTGTACAGTTCAATGAGTTGTAACAAAGAGGTAACTCATTTAACCATCACCACAGTCCAGACATTGAACGTTTCTGTCACCCATGACCCTTCTCAGCAATCCCCACTCACCACCCCTGCCTCCAGGCAGTTTTGGATAGAAAGTGAAACTTTCTATCACTATAGATTTGCTTTTACTGGAGTTTCATATCAATGGAATCATTCAGCATGTACTTGTCTTTGTCTGGCTTCTTTTGCTCAGCATGATGTTGTTGAGATTATCTGTGTTGCCTGTATCAATAGTTGATTTCCTTTTTATTACCCAGTAGGATCCCATTGTGTGGATTTATCATAATCTGTTCATCCGTTGATGGACATTTGAGTTTTGGGCTATTATGAATAAGGCTGTTGTACATATAGACATACATTTTCATTTCTCTTGGGTAAATATCAAAAAATTGAATTGCTGAGTCATATGGTAAGTGTATGTTTAACTTTATAAGAAACTGCCAGAACACGTTGTGTTCTTAGAAAGTTGATTTTTTTCTTGCAAGAGTTGTTGTTTTCCCTCTAGTATTGTCTATACCTCTTCGTTCCCATTGGATTTTGTAGACTAGAAACTGTAGACTAGCTGAAAACAGGTTGGTATGTCAGTGTATATTGGGTTAGAGTCAAGGTCCATTCTGGGTGAGACAGTATTGGGTTATTGCTCAGGCAGGCCAGATGGAAGGGTTTAAACAAATAGTGTGTGCCCTTTGGAAGAGTGTGTTTCAAGGCTGTGGGAAAGGCTGTGTTTGCACCAGTTGAGGAAGCTGCTAATTCCTGAGAGATGCAAGGTACTTGCAGGGGAAATTGTTCCCTGTGGGAAAAATGGAGGCCTTCTAACCCAGCTCATCCCTTAACTTTCCTGCCCTTTTAAGGAGAGAACCCAGTGGCCAGCTCAGTCTGGGAACTATTGAGAGTTGACATTTGGTGGTTACAGAACAGGGAAACCTTGGCTCAGGACCTATTTCTGCTTCTAATGTAGCAAATGGAAGTGAAATACCAAACCTACCCCACAAGTTTGAAATATGTAAGAGAGGTACTTTGTAATGGAATAATAGGCAAATGTAAGTTGCTATTCATCTATACCAGGGGTCGGCAAACTCTTGAGATGGAAGAGCCAATCCTGTTCCTCACAACAATTTAAAAATTATTCGAGAGCCATAAAACAAATGAAATCACCATTATGTGAATAATACCCTTTAAAAATGTTATCAATTAAACTATGATAGTTTTATTTTCATTTTCAATTTTATTTCAGAGCCACATGTACGTACCCAAAGAGCCGTAGTTTGCTGACCCCTGATCTATACACTGAAGAATAGCCAATACACATTGTTAGTCTGTTTCTACCTTTTTTTGTTAAGTTCATATGCTTGTGATAGGACTCCAATTTCTGATTACCATTTTGTAACGGTTAATTCAACTGGCGATCACATTTTGTCTGCTAAAGTACAGGCGAGTACTTGCTGGTATCCTCTAAATATGTTAAAAGCAATTCTGGTTTCATAGACAAGTAGGTTTGGAAAATGCCATGTTGCTGTCTCTACATGCTAGTTGTTTTGTGGAAGCACCCTGCGTGTAATGAACTCGTTTTTGCATCTCATTAAGTAACCCTGTTGCCTGGTGTATTAGTTGCCTATTGATGCTTAACAAATTACCAACAATTTAGCAGCTTAAAATCACACATATTAGTTATCTCACAGTATCTGTGGGGTCAGGAACCCTGGCACGGCTTAGCTGAGTCTTCTAGTTCAGAATCCCTTATAAGAGCACAGCTACGGTCTCATCCTAAGGCTTGACTGAGGAAGGAGTCACTTGTGAGGTCACATGGTTGTTGGTAGAATTCAGGTCCTTGAAGTTTAGACTGAGAGCCTCAGTTTCTAGTTAGCTATTGACCAGAGGCCGCCCTCAGTTACTTGCCATATGGGCTTTTCCAACATGGCAGCTTGTTTCATCAAACAATCCCAGAAGGTAGTAAAGAGAGTCTTCTAGCAAGAGGGAAGCCACAATTTTATGTAACCAAATCACGAAAGTGACATCCCATCGCCTTTGCTCTCTTCTGTTGGCTAGAAGGAAGTCATAGGCCCCACCCACATTCAAGGGGAGGTTATGACACAAAGGCGTGGCTTCCAAGGGGGCCATCTTAGACTTTTCTGCCAAGCTGGGCTGCAGTTAGACTGGCCTATCACTGAAACCGAACACACTATAAATAGTTGCCTAGAGATTCTAGTGCTAGGTGAACAACTCAACCAAAGAAGTAAGAATTAGTGCATATGTTTGGCACAAATTGGGAAGGATGATCCAGAGTCTTTTACTCTTCTAGACTTATTCTTTTAGGAGTGGGTAGAACGAATGGACTGCCAGTGGGGTTTTCCCAGCATCCTGCACAGAGCCTGACCCAAAGGAGACCCTCAGTAAAAACTGTTTGCATGAATAGACTTCAGTTTGAAAATATAGCTTAACTTGATCAGTTCTATTGCCCTGCTTTTTGTAACAAATATTTTATAATATCCTTTATCCTGAAATGAAATCCATAAATAGAAATTACCTACACACATAATTTCAAAATATCAATATGACTTAACTGTAATATAAAAGACAAAAAGAAGAGAAATTTATAATAAAAATAATGTGTTTCAATATGTTAATACTCTAAAACAAAGTGGTTAGGTGCTTGCTTCTGAATTTAGATTCAGCATTAATGACACAGCTGTAAATACAAACTGATACTTGATACTGGTGTGTGCAGTTAAGGACCCAAACTCTACAATTTGTCATTGGTGATGTGATTTTTCCAGAAAGATGAACAATTGTTGAAAATATTCTGAACAAAACAAAAGAATAATCATCCCATGTTTTACATGATAGTTTTATTCCTAGGAAATTCAGTATATGTTCAAATTATGCAAAAACTAGCTTGTTTTGGAGTTAGTTTAGGCCCAGGTAATTATAATAAGGTTTTTACCTACAGGTATGTCATACAGGATATTGGAAAGCATGAGGTCCTTGAGGCCATTTATTGTACAGGACTTCATTGCACTTAGCAGAACAAATGGCTGAGATCTGGCACTTTTTCCTACACATACTTTCTCAATTCCAGGAATGCTCCCCGATTATTGAGACAACAAAAACACTATGGATTTTACTAGTGGCAGCACCACTCCCCATTGAAAAGCACTCCAGTAGGGCTTAACTTCTTAGAGAAAGAAAATTGATGCAGTTATTCTGGTATGGTTAGACACAGTTAAGCTTAAATATCAAGGAATACCATGTGGGAAAGGAGATAAAAATCAATGCACTCAAGTATCTATTGTGGCCCAGCAGCCGGCATGGTTGGATGTTTGGATGAAGCAGAAGACTGCAATAATTGCAGGAGGAGGAGAGAGGGAACACTGTATGTTAGGCTGTCGGAAATGGGCATCCTCAAATGCACACTTTAAATGCTGAATTTTAAGAATACTGATGAAATGCTTTCTTTTCCAACAGAAACCTGTTTCCCTCAAATCTTGTGGTTGCAGCTTTTCGAACGGTAAGTCTTAATGCTTTGCTAAAAATAACAAAACTTTGATGGGGTGGGGGATATGTAAATTACTGCTACAGAATTAGGTAAGATGGAATAGGAAGGGATAGTGTTGTTAGCAAAACTTGGTAACACTGGTCTAAAGTTTTATAGCTAGGCTTCCGGAATAAAAACAAACAAAACAAAAAATGCCAACATTTTTCTAAAATATCTTACTAGTTCCAACATCTTTTCACATCACCTGAGAAATACCATCAAATCACATTTTGGGGCGCTCTTAAATATTTTAGAATTTTAAAAAGTACACTTTTAAGCTGGGCCAGCCGAGTGGCTCAGTTGGTTAAGAGTTTGCTTAAGAGCATGAGCTCTGAGCAACAGCGTCGCTGGTTCAATTCCCATATGGGCCAGTGAGCTGTGCCCAAGCTGAGCTGCCGCTGAGCTACCAACAGGTGGCAGGATGGCTCAGCTGGTGCGAGCCTGTTCGATGGTGGGCTATGCCCACCTGCAGCTGGGACTGAACTCTGGCACCTGGAGCTGAGCTGCCGCCCGGATGGCTCAATGCGCTCTTAACAGCAAGGTTGCTGACTCGACTCCCGCATGAAACAACCCAACAAAAAAAAGTACACTTTTATGGGGTTTTTTTCTGATTATAAAGGTTAAATACATGCTCATTTGCAAAAAAAGTAAAGTGCAAAATAGTGGAAGAAAATAAAAATCACCCCTAACCACTACCTACAGCTACCCATAGATATTTTGGTGTACAGGCTTCAGATCTGTTCTTTTCTACGCATACCTATACATTTAAAAAATAATTATACTACATATACTGTTTGCATATTGCACATACTACACATGTTGTTTTGTGACCTGCTCTTTTTTTTTTTTTTTAAAGATTTTATTGGGGAATTGGGGGAGGGGAACAGTGCTGGGGAATCGGGGGAAG